AACAAATTCAATCTGCCATTTATTGCCCCAGTTTCCTCCCAGTCATCAAAATAATGGAAGGTATTAATAATCAAGCAGTACTTGCATAACAACTGCCTGCTCACTGATGCTTAGTTTGGATTCTGTCAGACATACAGTTCCTGACGGCATTACAGTCTTGGTCCAAATATGGTTACAATCAGAGAAGCCATTTGGTCCGTCAAGTTTGCACTAACACTCCAAAGAGCATTCCACTCCCCAATCTTACCCCCGTAACCCAGTATTTACCCTGGCTATTACACCAAGCCTGCACAACTCTGGACATTATGGGGCAATTTAACTCAGCCAATCCCCCTTAACTGAACGTCTTTGGACTATGGGAAGAAACCGGTGCACTCAGCAGAAAACCACACAGAAATAGGGAGAACGTGCAAACTCCACACAGATAGGTACCTAAGGCTGGAATTGAACATGGGACCCTGGTGCTGAGAGGCAACAATGCTACCACTGAACCACAATTTTGCCCCAGAGCTGAAAAAGAGCTGAACCTCAAGAGAGGTAAAGGTCACTGCCCTTGACATCAATACAGCATTTGACAGAGTGTGGCAGTAAGGATTCCAAATAAAATGGGAATTGATGGGAATTAAGTGGAGACCTGATTGGAGTCATACCTAATATGGAGGATGATGGATGAAGTGGATGTTGGAGGCCAGTGTCACTGGATTAGCAATTCAGAGACCCTGAATAACAGCATTCAGTGGAGATAAAGTTCAATGAATAAATTTGGAATATAAAGCTAGTCTCTGTAATGATACTGTGAAATGACCAGTGACTGTTATAAAAACCCAGTTGGTTCACTGTGTTCAGTACCATTTGCAATTACTTTAGAGACTAAGCTAACAGTCCCTTTTGCTAGTTATGTTTTTCTAAAAAGGAAAATTTGTTGCTTTCTGCTTCTGTGTTGTAGGGCATTGTATTGGCCCATTTTTTCCCTCTCTTCTCCCCCTGTTTTCAAAAGCACTGGTCTATAAATATGTGTAAATGACTTTCTAAACAAACCATCACCACTAAAATGGTTTCCCCTCTCAACAAGATATGGAAGCGCAAAACAACAAGTTACATATTATTTTGTCTATTTTAGAATTCAAATTTGCAAATGACAATAGATTATTAACCTGGACAACACTCAGGCCTAGGCTGATAACTTGCAAACAACATCTGGACTACACAAGCGGTAAGTCCTAACCATTCAATGGCTTTACCATCAACTAGAATCTGAACTGGACCAGCCATTTAAAATAGCATGGCAACAAGAATAGGTTCAGAGGCTAAAGATTGTTCAGCAAGTAACTACTCCTGACTCCAAAAACTGCCCACCATATACAAGGCACAAGCCAGCAGAGTGAGGAATTTCTTTACTTGCATGCATGTAGTTCCAACAACGCAAGCTCAACACCAAGTGGAACAAAGCCGCCCACTCAAATGGCAAACCATTCACCAACTTAACCACCAATGCACAGTGACAGCAGTGTGCACCATCAAGATGCACTGCAACAATTCACTAAGGCTCCTTTGATAGCATAATCCAAACCTGCAATCTTCACCATACAGAATGACATGGGCAGCAGATGCATAGGAACACCATCTGCAAGACCTTCTCCAAGCCACACACCTCCTGACATGGAATTGTATCACCATTTCTACATGGTCTCTGGGTGAAGGTTATGAAATTCCCCACCAAACAGTACTGAGAGCACACATTTTTATCATACGGACTACAGTGGCTCATGGAAGCAGTTTAGCACCACCTCAAAGGGAATTACGGATGGATAACCCATACTGACTTTTCTAGCTATGTTTGCAATTCTCTGAAAAAAACTTTTAAAAACAAAACCACAAGCTGGGGCTCAGCCTTGGGCTGTCCTCACTCAATTTATACACACAGGGCTCTGGTGAGTGGGAACGTTGGATGATATACCATCACTGTCCCCCACACCATGGGATACTGAATCAAATTGTAGCCCATCGACTGTCATCCTAGTTTAGGACCCTGACCTCACCCCACTTTCAAATAAACACCGTACTCTACATTTTACTCAGCACTTACTCCAAAAGAACATTTATGATCTATAACCCTGATTAAATTTCACAACCATTCTCCAAAAATCTGTTACAGTCATCTCTTTTCTGTCCAGAAATATGGAGATTTAAGTGCATCAATAAAAGGCACAATTACATTAAGATTTACAATGTATTCAATTACTGCTAAGACATGACCATATCAGCAGCATTTATTATGAGAGGTTAAGTTCACATATGGAGAACATATTAATTGATTGACAGAGAAGTTTGCTGTTGGAAGTTTGCATGAAATGTTTGTGCTTAACAAGATGACATCAGTACTAGAGACAGACACTGCACTGCAAGCAAGCAAGCAGTGTCAGCACCAAGCACTTTCAGGTCAGAATGTCAGAGCCTGCCTTCTAACTTAACAATCCCAGGGCAATGATCCAGATTCCTTTGCCACCCAGTACCACAAAGAAAATTATGGAATTCTAAAATGCTAGGAACACACTGACATTAATGTATAATGCACTTTATACCTGCGTCAGGTAGAGGAGATTATGGACTCAAGCCCTGCGGGGACTTAACACAAACTAGAGTTGATGCTCCCAATGCAGTACTGAGGGTATGGTCTTTCAGAGATATGTTAAACAAAGGCCTTGTCTTCCATTTCAGGGCATTAAGCGTTTTACAGCATCGTGTGAAAAGCAGAGGATCCTCATGGTTCCCAGCCAGTATTTATCTTTTTACCAACATCACTAAAATTGTCTTATCATTATCACACTTCTGGTTGTGAAAGTTTGCTGTGTGCAAATTGCCACATTTCCTACATTACAACAAGGCTGCATTGGCAGCAAAACACTTTGGGATGTCATGAAAGGAACTATGGAAATCTAAGTTCTCTCTTTTACTTTCTGTTTATACCACCTGAATTTAATATTACAAAACTGAAAGAACTACAGATACTGTAAATCAGAAACAAAATTAGAAATTGTTGGAAAAGCTCAGCAGACCTGGCAGCATCTATGGAGAGAAATCACAGTTAACATTTCGGGTCGAGTGACTGTTCCTCAGAACACTACAGGAGCACACTCACCACACAAACAGTAGCACTTCAAGACGACAATCTAATGCTGACTGCCCACAACTGATTTTAATTTATTCACACTATTTGGGTATTACGAGCAATGCCAGTATTTATTCTCTATCCACAGTTGCCCTCAAGGTGGTTGTGGTGAGCCACCCTACCACAGTGGTTCGCTAGGCCATATCAGAGGGCAGTTAAGAGCTAATCTCATCGCTGCAGGTGTCATCTTACATTCAGGCCATTCTGAGTAAGGGTAACAGATTTCCTCCCCCAAATAAACAAGCTTTTTTAAAAACAATAATCGAGTAACTCTATGAGGTTTGTTTTTTATTCAATATTTATTTAATTGACTGTATTTAAAATTCTCCAGTTGCCAAGATGGGCTTTGAACTGGTGACTAATAATTATTATTAAGAGATCTAACCACTGTCCCTCGCCATTCATTGGGTCAATGGGCTGAGGAGTGGCAGATGATGTTTAATTTGGATAAATGCAATGTATTGTATTTTGGTAAAACAAACAAGGGCAGAGCAGGACTTACACAATTAATGGTAGGGCCCTGGGTAGTGTTGTAGAACAGAGAGATCTAGGGGTTCAGACACATAATTCTTTGAAATTTGCACCACTGGTAGACAGGGTAATTAAGAAGGCATTTAGCACACTGGCCTTATTGCTCAGGCTTTCGAGGACAGGAGTTGGAACGTCATGTTTCGGTTGTACAGGACATTGGTGAGGCCTTTTCTGGAGTACTGTGTGCAGTTCTGGTCACCCTGCTATAGGAAGGTGAGTATTAAATTGGAGGGAGTTCAGAAAAGATTTACCAGGATGTTGCTGGGAATGGTGGGTTTGAGCAAAACAAATAGGCTGGATAGGCTGGGACCTTTTTCACTGGAGCATGGGAGGTTGTGAGGGGTGACCTTATAGAGGTTTATAAAATCATGAGGGGCACAAATAAGGGGAATAGCCAAGGTCTCTTCCCTAGGGTGGGATTTCAAAACTATTGGGCATATTTTTAAGGTGAGAGGAGAAACTTTTTAAAAAAGGGACTCAAGGGCGAATTTTTTTTTAAACACAGAAGGTGGTTTGTGTGTGGAATAAACTGCCAGAGGAAGTGGTGGATACAGGTACAGTTACAATATTTAAAAAAAGATTTAGATAAGTATATGAATAGGAAAAGTTCAGAGGGATATGGGCCAAAGTGCAGCAAGTGGAATTAGTTTAGTTTGGGAACACAGCCGGTGCGGACTAGTTGGACTGAAAGGGTCTGTTTCCGTGACTCTACTTGGCCTGTTGGATGGGTGGGGATGGGAGAGATGGTTGGTGGTGGAGGAGGAGAAGGGGACAGAAAGAATAAAGGAAGATGGTGTGTCTTTTACCATATATACTTCCCTCAGGATAGCAAATTTATAGAATTCTTATTACAGAGAGCTATAGAGGCCAGTTGTCAAGTATAAGGCTGTGATAGATTTTTAATCAATAAAGGAATCAAGGGTTATGGGTGCAAAGGCAGGAAAACAGTGAATAGCTGAGAAGACTCAATGGCCTACTGCTGCTCCTACATTGTATGATCTTAATTGATAGATATTATAGCCTATAATAGCAGTTTTGTCTGCAGCTGTACAAGAAAACATCTGGCCAGCATCCTCAATGGTGGAACTGGTACTCAAGTCTTCAGCATATGAACAGGTTTGTGTCCAAATATCCGTCACTTGAAAATTAAGTGACAGAATGAATTTTGTACTTTCTTTCTTTCCACTCTCTTTTGAGATTATCTATTTCAGATACCACAAGTTTTGAACACACTCTTTAATGTTACGTTTCCACCAAGGTAGTATCTCCTTGTAAAAATATATTTGCTTCAAAAACTCACATGTATGTAAACACTCTGTGATAGTGGTTGCATCTATGAAGTAGCCAGCACACAGATAACAGACGATATGTTCATTCAGGTCTTTAATCTTCACTTTTACTTCTTCCTGCCAATGATAAAACACAGTCTCACTAGTCACGTAACTGATCATGTTCAGGACAGTGCCAGCACACACTCAGGAGACCAAATCAGAAGAAAAAACATGCATGTTTCCAAATGACATCTATCTGTGCTAAAAGGTTCAATAGTTTGATGAACCAGAGGAGAGAAGTTGTCATATGTCTCAGTAGAAAGTAACAAAACCAGTTCAGGTCATGGATTAAACATGTTTTTCTTTTGTGCTTTTTAAAATATATTCTTATATGGGATGGCAGGCATCACTGGCAAAGGCCGGACTTTGTGGTCCATCTCTAAATGCCCTTGAATGGAGTGAATTGTTTGGTAATTTCAGAGGGCAGTTAAGAGTTAACCACATTGCTCTGGAGTCACATGTAGGCAAGACTTAAAAGAACATTAATGAACCAGATGGTTATTTACGGCAATAGTTATATGATCACCATTAGACTAGCTTGCAATTCTACATTTTATTGAATTCAAATGTCACCATATGAAACGCAATTACCCTTGAGAAGGTTGTGGTAACTCTACAAAAGAGGAATCCCACTTCCTTGGAGGTGTTCCATGGTGAATAGTGGATGGTACAACTTCAGTTTAAAATTAAGAGTATGCACTTTCTGTAACATCAAAAATATTACTTGGCCTTTTTTTTCTGCTGCTGTGCATTTAGCCAGTCAAACAGTCAATGATCATGCAAGTAGAAGATCATTTATAATGACCTGACTACAGAAATTCTAGATGAAGATATTCCAGGAAAAATTATGGGAGGCCCTTTAGGGTAATGGCCTGAACACAACAGCCAAATTAGCAATTTTATTCATTTGAAATGGGAGTGTTATCGGCAAGCCATCCATCCTGAATGGAACCGATACATTACTAGGTCACAGTTATTATTCAACCACATATAGGCTAGATTAAAACAAAAGGTTTGCTTTTCTGTAGTGTAGTGGTGCAGATGTGTATTCCATACATTATGATTCAATTAACATAAACCACGGATTCAACACCAGAAATGGAGTATATTAGCCAAGGTCGACATTTAGAAGTGCAATATTGAACAGACCAGAGCTGCCTGTTAGATTGGAGGTCAAACTGAACTCCAATATGTCCAGTTCTAATGACCATGAATGAAATTGTTGAATTAGTCCAGAATGAAAAAAGCGGAAATTCTGCTATATCATAGTCAAAGCACATGGATGTAATACTGTATTTATCATAAGGTTATCATTTTCAACTTCCACAGCTGTTATACTTTGTGCGTGTGATAACTTGCAGCGATGTGGACAGTCAAGTCAAAGCTGTAATAAGTGGAGTGTATTAAATCCTGCAGCAAATTATCAAAGGCTATAAAACCATATGATATAGGAGCAAAATTAGGCCATTCAACCAGAGTTTTACCATTGTTTGAACATAGCCGACATGTTTTTCAACCCCGTTCTCTTGCCTTCTCTCCTTACCAATCAAGAACCTATCGCTGTCTTAAATATACCCAACGACTTGGCCTCCACAGCCTTCAGTGACAATGAGTTCCACAGATTCACCACCCATTGGCAGAAGAAATTCCTCAGTTCTGTAAGGGTCAGTTCTATAAGAGACGGACCTTTACAGGGGCTGTGCCCTCGGATTCTAGTCTCTTTTACCAGTGAAACATATTCTCCGTGCCTCTTAGTATTCTGTAAGTTTCAAACAGATTGCCCCCTCATCCTTCTCAACTCCATTGAGTACAGACACTGAGTCCTCAACTGCTCGACATATGACAAGCCCCTCATCCCAGAATCGAACCTCCTCTGAATTATCTCCAATGCTAGTATATCTTTCCTACACCACATCCATTCACAAGGTGGTGAGCAGTCCTCTCCAGGTGGCCACAGTTGCATGATGAATTATGTTTCAAAGTCCATTTGTGGACATGGCGAGATATATATGAACAGAGAACGTGGGGCTCACTGAACGCAGACCACTGTTTGAGAGAGGCCAAACACTGGAGGCTCTACTGTCAGATCACTCACCAGATCTTGGTGTCAGGTCAGCAGGTGCACCATCTGTCCTTTTTGTTAAAACATGCATCAAAAACTGGTTGGCTGCTTTCTATACTAACATCTGTTTAATTAGCATCATTCCATCAATCTCCATCACCAATTTAACGTAGAAAAATCCTGCTCATGATTCAGCTACTCCTCCAAAATTTAAATATAAACCGAAAGAACTGTGGATGCTGTTAATCAGAAGCAAAAACAGAAGTTGCTGGAAAAGCTCTACAGGTCTGGCAGCATCTGTGAAGAGAAATCAGAGTTAACGTTTCAGGTCCTGTGACCTTTCCATTCTGAGGGAAGGGTCACGGACCCGAAACGTTAACTCTGATTTCTCTTCACAGATGCTGCCTGGCCTGCTGAGCTTTTCCAGCAACTTCTGTTTTTGTCTGGACCTGAAATTTAAATCCCTCCTTCTTGCACATCTTCTAAACTATGCATTAGTCTTTTATTCTTCTATTTCTCTACCCACTTATACATGGGAGTGGGAGCAATCTGAAGATTATTATTTTTAAAAGGTCCTTCTGGCTTATTTTCTACTTAACACACCAAATTCGATTGCAGGAGTACATCCCTTTCCTACCTATATTGCTGGTACCTGTGACCACAATCTCTAGCTGATTACCCTCCCCTAAAAGGATGTCCTGCAGCTACTCTATGAAATCCTTGACTTCAGCATTAAAGAGGCAACAAATCATCACTCTAACATCTACAGATAGAGAAACTCCTTGTCTATTCCACTTACTAATAAAAGACCGATCACAATAACTCTCACTCTTCTCCCTTCCCTCCTGTATAGCTGATCTATGGGTCTGGCACTTGCTGTATTCCTTTGAGGTCTCATCACCCTCACCACGATTGAGAAGAACAAAAAAATCTTGAGCAAATCTCAGGGAACTCTGTATTCTCTTGGATTCTCTTGCACTGTCTGGCAGTCACCCATTTCCTATCTGCATTCACACCCCTAACCTATGATATGATCCTTTCTCAAATGTGTTACCCACGTAACTCTCAGCCTCATGGACAATAATCTCTCTAAGCTGCACTCCAAGGGTCTGCACAAGCCAATTGTCATGGCCAAGCCATTCCCAGCATTGACTTGTGGTTTGGAAGTTGCTGCTGTGCACAGACCTCTGAGGTCAGCGCAGAAGAAAGGAAAGAAGAAACTTAGCTTGAACCACTACCCAGGTTCCAAAATTCAGTGCTCAGGTTTCTGCAGTCAGAAGTACTTGTTGTACACATTTGTCTAGGTCATGTGAAGTGACAAACTATGTACTCAAGACTCTCCCATAAAGGGGAAAACATCCTATCAGCATCCACCCTGTCACGATCCCTCAGGATCTTTTACGCTTCAATAAGACTACCTCTCATTCGAAAATTGTGAATAAGGAGAAACCTACAGAAAACAAAAAACTGCGGATGCTGGAAATCAGAAACAAAAACAGAAATTGCTGGAAAAGCTCAGCAGGTCTGGCAGACTCTGTGGAGAGAAATCAGAGTTAATGTTTCGGGTCAAGTGACCCTTCCTTGGAACCTTAGACTTCCTGAAGGCATTTTATAAAAAGATACCACAAAGTTTACTACACAAAATAGTTGATGGCATAGGGATGCAGGATTGGTTAGTCTATATAAATGGTAAATGTAAAGGAGTCATTCTCAAGTTGGCCAGATGTCAATGAATGGAACTCCAGAGGTCAGAACTAAGGTCTCAACCATTTATAATTTTTCTTCATGACCCAGATGAAGGGATCAAATTTTCTAATGTGCTGTCAACTAAAAGATAAATGGGGAAGCTAGCTGTCAAGATATAAGGAATCTGCAAAGGATTATGAAAAAGGTTAACAGACCAAGAAAATGTTTGGCAGATGTGAGTATAATGTATATAAATATTAACATGTTTTTTAAGTTCACTTCGACAGAAAGAAGTAGTTTTTTTTTTTACAAAAGGTGGGAGATTGCAGAACTCTGTGGTATAGTAAAATTGGGTGTGTTGGTATGTGAATCAAAGGTCATTTGCTACTGCAGCAAGTGAATTCAGGAGGCAAATGAAATATTGCGTTTTTTCCCCTAAGGCACAGAAAGATTAGTGTAGAGGTATTTTGTTACACTGTACAGGTGGTTGGTTAGCATTGTGTACCATTTTGACCCCTTATTTAAAAGGAAAGATACAAATGCAGTTCAGAGGTTTACTTGACTGTGATACCTGGGATAGAAGGATTATCTTACGAGGAGAGGCTGGACAAATTGGGCCTGTCCCCACTGCAGTTTAGAGGAATCGCAGGTGATCTTTTTGAAACAAACTCCCGAAGAGACTTGACAGGCAGATGTTGAGAATATGATCCCCTTCGTGGGCCAGACTAAAACTTGGGGACACTATTTAAAAACAAGGGATCACACATTTAAAAGGTGGGAATGAGGAGAATTTATTTTAATCTCAGACCATCTTCAGTCTCATAGCCAGAAGGTGACAGAGTTTTTGAGCCAGAAATTGTTTAACACCCTTGTTCATCAATAACCTACTTTTGGGGGTGGATTGGGGTAACAATCAGATCAGCCACGATTTCATTGAATGGCAGGGCTGGCTTGAAGTGCCAAGCCTTCTCTTATGTCATTGGCATCCTTCCACTTGTGCAAGACAATGTGTATGCAACAAGTTAAATCTGTTTACAAAAATAGAAATTGCTGGAAAAGTTCAGCAGGTCTGGTAGCATCTGTGGAGCGAAATCAGTTAATGTTTCTGGTCCAGTGACCTTTCTTTGTTCTTGTTTTGAGCCATAATAGGACATTGCCTGGTGAACACAATTCTGTCACTGTTCAGACTACAGAAATGTCAATACAGCATGACAATTTGCATCAATTTGAGCAAAATTATTGGAAAAAAAAGTAAAAATTGCAATTCAGCTACATCATTTTTAAAAGAATAATAATTAATATCCAGAGATAACAGTATAGAGCTGGAGGAGCACAGCAGGCCAGGCAGCATCAGAGGAGCAGGAAAGTTGACGTTTCGGGTCGGGACCCTTCTGCACAAAACGTCAACGTTCCTGTTCCTCTGATGCTGCCTGGCCTGTTGTGCTCCTCCAGCTCCACACTTATCTCTGACTCCAGCATTGGCAGTTCTTACTACCTATAATTAATATCCAGTTGAATTTGCAACTGGATAAACAAGAAATGATGACCTCCACCACAACGTCTTTACCTTCGACAACCAGTTCTTCATCCAGGCACACAGAACAGGCTCGGGGACCAGACTTGCAACCCAATATGCCAACATTTTCATGCACAAGTTCGAACAAGACTTCTTTGCTGTGCAGGACCTCCAACCAACGCTTATACACTAGATACATTGATGACGTTTTCTTTCTTTGGACTCATGGTGAGGAATTACTGAAACAACTACATAGTGATATCAACAAGTTTCATCCCAATATCAGACTTACCATGGACTACTCTTTTAGAATCAGTTTCATGCTTGGACATGTGCATCTCATTCAAGGACAAATACCTCAATATCTCACTCTACTATAAACATACAGATAACCTCACAAGGCTGCACTCCTCTAGCTTCCACCCTAAACACATTAAAAAAGCCATCCCAGACGGACAAGCCCGATGCATACACAGGATCTGCTCAGATGAGGAGGAACGCAGTGGACACCTGAAGGTGTTGAAGGACGCCCTCATAAGGGCAGGGTACGATGCTGAACTCATCAAATGTCAGTTCTGACAGGACACAGGGAAAAACCATAATGACCTCCTCAGAAGATAGACACAGGATACGACCGCAGGGTACCCTTCGTCGTCCAGTACTTCCCTGGAGTGGAGAAACTACGCCCTGCTCGTCACAGCCTTCAACACATTATCGATGACAATGAGCACCTCCCCAAGATTTTCCCTATGCCTTCACTTCTCACCTTCAAACAACCGCCAAGCCTAAAACAGACTATTGTTTGAAGCAAACTACCCAGCCTTCAGGACAACATTGACCACAACATCACATAACCTCTGCAAGACATGTCAGATCACCAATATGGATACTACCATCACACTTGGGAACACCATCCACCACATGCACGGCAGATACAAGCGACTCAGCCAATGTTGTCTATCTCATACGCTGCAGGCAAGGATGCCCCAGGGCATAGTATATTGGCAAAACAATGCAGACACTGTGACAACAGATGAATGGACACTGCGCAACAGTCGCCAGACAGGGATATTCCCTTCCACTGAAGGGGCACTTCAGCGGTCAAGGGCACTCGGCCTTGGATCTTCAGGTAAACGTCCTTGAAGGCGTACTTCAAGATACACAACAACGCAGAGAGTTAGCCAAGTTCGGTACTTACGAGGATGGCCTCAACCATGATCTTGGGTTCATGTCGCATTCACTCTCTCTCTCTTGCAGACACACACATACACAGTAGCTCTCCCCTTCACCCCCCACATACAGACACGCATGCACACACATAAATCTCTGGAGTGAATTTGCTTTTGCAGCTTTGTATTTAAAAGATACATTCTATTTTGTTCAAAAAGCACACGATTTGTATACACAGTCAATCGGGCACTTTATGAAGTCCTGCTTTGTCACCTGTTGTATACACTCATAAACCGTTTAGTTATCTCGGGCACTGACTCCCAGGAAATTCTGGGATTTGCATTCAAATCATTCGAAACCTGCATCTCCTTCCTAACTGATAAAAGAAATAACAGGAGGTAGTCAGCCAGCCATGTTAGGTTTATTCAATACATTCGCATCAGTTGTATGATCTTTTACTTAAAAAGTCTGGCTTGATGCCTCTCTCACTGCATCTAATGAAGGAGCAACGTTTAGAAAGTTTTTGTTTACAAATGAACCTGTTGGACTTCATATCAACAAATAATCAGACAGCCGCATGCGCATTGAAGACGAGCAGCTTGGTGCTTTAGGCGCATGCACAGAAACAGCCGTCTCATCGGCCGAGCGCATGCGCAGCAAGTCGCTGCCCCGGTAACCGCGCATGCGTGGTGCAGCCCCTCGCGGCCCTGAAGAAGGAGGAGGAGGAGCGGGGCATCTCTGTCACCCGTCGGTGAGCTGGTAGCGCGATCCACCCCTTCCCTCGGAGCCCGTGGGACAGACCGGCCTTATTTCCCACCTCGTTGCGCAGCGGGTCCAGTTTGTACACAGTCTGGAGTTGGTTCCGGAGCCGCATCGCGTTCGCCATAGGAGCGTCAACCGCCATCGTCGCCCTGAGCCCGAGTCTACGTCATCACGTCGCATTACGTCACCGCGTGGACAAGAGCATGGAGCAGAGTGCAGTGCAGGTCAAAGAGGCAGCAATGCATAGAGAGAAATAGTAGGAACTGCAGATGCTGGAGAATCCGAGACGACAAGGTGCAGGGCTGGATGAACACAGCAGGCCAAGCAGCATCTGCTCCTAT